CCTTCGGGGGGGGGGGGGGGGGGGGGGCACTGGACTCCGTGCTCCTGCATCCACAGACCTCCAGCTGCAGGCAGCCTGCTCTCTGCTGCTGCTTGTTGAAGCTTCCTGTGCGGGGACGAACAGACCAAGAGCTCTGAGAGTTTGAAAGCCACAGAGCTGGACGATCTGTGCTCCCGCCGGCTCTGAAGGTCAGCAGAAACTTGACCTAATCCTTCCCAGCGACACACGTGGTTCTCACGGCCTAGAGCTTTCCTCTGGCACCTGTCCCCTATAAATCCTGCTTTGATTTACCCAGCACTGGCATTAGTCCCCCATGTCTGGTTTATCTCCTCTGCTAAGCTGCGAGTTCCTTGAAGGTAGTTCTTAATTGGTTTTATGAACATGGCGTGTGTCTATTGGGCTCCTTTGCCTCCGCTGCTGTGGGGATGCAGAGGTGACGGACTAGTGAGTGGACACACATGTAAAGTGGAGCGGTGTGCACTGCACTGGGTGGGTGGGGCCCAGTGAACACAGAGTCTGCAGAGAGGCCTCCTGGGAGGAGACTGAGGCGGCTGGTCTTGGATGGGGAGCTGGACAGAGGCCTGGAGAAAAGGAGGAAGCTGAGTCTGGGAGCAGGATGGAGAACGGTGACGAAGCAGCACATTTGTTTTGGAGACAGGGTGTTTATGTAGCTAGGCTGGCCTCGAACTCACTATGTAGCTGAGGATGATCTTTAACTTAATTAGTGTGTGTGGTGTGCGTGTGCACACGTGTGCATGGGTACACGTGGTGTAGTGTTTGTGTACATGTGTGTGCAGGTGCAGACACTCATGAGCGCATGAGAGACCAGAGAAAATAGCCTGGCCTGTCCTTTTCTGCTTTATTCCCTTGAGACAAGATCTCTCGCTGAACCCGCAGTGCTGAGGTTACAGCCTGGCATGTGGCGATGTCCAGGGTTTTGTGTGGGTGCTGGGCACTTGAACTCAGGTCCTGACATTTAGGAAGCAAGCACTGTTACCCACGGGGCCATCTCCTCAGCCTTGACCTTAACTTCTGATCCTCCTTCTTGCACCTCCCCAGTGCACCATCGTGCCCAGTTATCTATCTGGGGCTGGAGATGGAGCCTCTTCCACGAGAGGCAAGCACGCTACCAGCTTAGCTACCTTAAGGCGGCACTTACTTTGGTTTTTGTTGTTTTTTGAGACGACAGGTCTTTCTATGTCCCCGGCTAGCCTCAAGCTCACTATGTAGCCAGGCCAGCCTTGAGCTAAGAATCCTCTGGTGCAGCTGTTTACCCTGAAGGCAAAACAAGCCTCTGATGACATAATCGGTGTGTGTGTGTGTGTGTGTGTGTGTGTGTGTGTGTGTGTGTGTGTGTGATCAGAACAAGCTTTTCTGCCACGTCCCCTCGCCCAGCTGTGGTGCAGACTGTTGCCTGGTGGGAACTCTGTTCATCCTAGGTGACAGGTGTCTGGGGGTGGGGAGGGGTACATGGGGATGGGAGCGTGAGGAGGCTCCTTTTACATTTGGGTGCTCCTCTGAGGAGGATGGTGAGTCGGGTGGCCGTGGTGGGGTGGACTTACTCGTTCAGAGCTTGTCCTGCACCCCACTTAGGCTCTAGGAACATTTGAACAGCCCTTTTCTTGGATTCTAGCCCCCCACCTGGGACCTTGAGGACCTCTTGTCCCTCTTCTGTTGGCTGTTACTGTGATAGGTTGTCCAGTCTGCATGGCCTTGGGGAAGCCCTGGGGTGACTCCCCGCACGCCCGGCCACTCCTCTTACCACCTTTTCCCCCTCTGCCCTCTTTGGCCCAGTTCCTCGGCTACCTCAGTGCCTGCGAGAGGCTGCTGCGTCAGGGCTATGACGAGGCCCTGGTGGATGAGGCCATGGAGATGTTCCAGTTCTCCGAGCACCAGGTCAGCTGGGTCTCCTGCTTGGGCCCCAGGAAGTGGAAGCATAGGGTGCAGGGGTGCGGCGGCGGCCCCAGAGCAGGCTGTGGAGCTGCAGGAGGGAAGTGGCCTGTTCACACTGGGGAGAAAGAACTGACCTAGAGAGTGGAGTACAGCCGAGGTGGGAAACAGAAAGAAGGGGTGGAGAGGGCAGGAGGCTGGTGTAGCGGGGGCTTTTCTGTGGGTAACCGAACCAACACACCGCATATTATTGGATTCCTGGTGTTTTTGAGACTCCCGTGCAGGAGCGGGAGGAAGACTTGGACTCAGGGAATTTGTGCCCTCCCAGCATGCAGGGAGCTGCAGGCCCTACAGAAAGAAACAAGTGCCCATGACAGCTCCTGCCTCAGTAACAGGGCAGCCATTCACAGGGCTAAGAGTTTCAGGAAGGACTGGGTACCAAAGAGGAGAAGACTGGGTACCACAGCGGGAGCGTGGGGGGTGGGGTCTTCAGCAGAGGCTGAGCACCACAAAACCCAGCAGTACCAGCACACCGGCAGCACCCCTGGCTGGGCCTCTGTGTCCCCCTGGACCTGCTGTGCAGCCCCTCATCCTGCCCTAATACCAGTCTCAGGGAACCAGGGTGAGCCAGATGATGGGGCCTCAGCAAGAGCCGGGCCTTCTTTCCTTGGTAGAGGAAGAAAGCATGAGCTCGCGTCCCCAGAGGAAGAGAAAAATGACAGGCACAATCCAGGGTCAGGCTTCTCTAGTGAAGGGACCACAGCTTTCTGGGATGGTTTGAGGTGCAGGGGCACCAGTGGCGGGGCGGGATACCCAGGACTGAGGCAGCCTTGCAGTGATGGAGTTCCCCATCTCCCTCCTCTTCAGGCGGGGGAGTTCCTGCGCCTCTGGCAGCAGTTCAGTGACATGGGCTTCCAGCCAGACCGGATCAAGGAGGTGCTGCTGGTCCACGGCAATCGGCGGGAGCAAGCCCTGGAGGAGCTGGTCGCCTGTGCCCAGTGACAAGCCAGGATACTCCGTGACACATGGCTGACCAGTGAAGTACCAGACCCACCACCCATCCTAACTGCATTATTAAAACCTAATAAGACAAGCCTGGTGGTGGCAGTGGTCGTGGTGGTGGCGGTGGCAGTGGCGGCGGCGGCGGCATTGGCGGCACACACCTTTAATCCCAGCCCTTGGGAGGCAGAGGCAGGTGGATCTCTGAGTTCAAGTCCAGCCTGGTCTACAGAGTGAGGTCCAGGACAGCCAAGGCTGTTAGATACTGTCTTTGGGCGAAGAGACACCATGACCACAACAACTCTTACAAAGGAAAACATTTAATTGGGTGGGTTACGGCTTCAGAGGTTCAGTCCATTATCATCCTTGTGAGACATGTCAGCATGCAGGCAGACTTGGTGCTGGAGAAGGAGCTGAGAGAGGGGAAGGAGCTACATCTTAATACACAGGCCACAGGAAGTGGTCTCAGACACTGAGTGTGGCTTGAGCACATATAAGACCTCAAAACCCACCCCCACAGTGACACACTTCCTCAACAAAGCCACACCTGCTCCACCAAAGCCACACCTCCTAATAGTGCCACTCCCTATGAGCTTATGCGGGCCAATTATATTCAAACCACCACACACACTGAAACCCTGTTTTGGGGTCGGGGGGGGGGGGGGACACAAAACCAATCCAAAACAAAACAAAACTAATAAGACTAAAGCCAGGTGTGGTGTCTCAAGCCTTTAATCCCAGCACTCAGGATGCAGAGAAGATGGATTCTTGAACTTGAGGCCAGCCTGGTCTACAGAGTTCCAGGATAGCTAGGACTACACAGAGAAACCTCATCTATAAAAACAATTATGAAATTAAATTAAAAATAAAAAATACCTAACAAAGCAGGGCATGCTTACTGTGAAGCACAGAGAATGTCATGGGTGGGAGTCATTACCAAACAGCCATTGCTAGAAGCAGCAGGCAGAGAGGAACTGTTTCTTGGGCAAGCCTTGGAAAGCATTCTGTATTTAACTCTTTAAACTATGTGCATTGATTTTGAGACAATTAAGTAAATGACAGGAATTATCTTGAATCCTGCATGTTTGGGACCTTGGTGTGGGAAACCCTTAATATATATCAGACACCCTGAGTTCTTTTTAATGTATTTACTTTATATGTGTTATGTATGCACACACACATGCATGCAGGTACCCACAGAAGCTAAAAGAGGGCATCAGATCCCCTGGGACTGGAGTTATAGGTGGTTGTGAGTCACCTGATGTAGGTGCCAGGGACCAAACTCCAGTCTTCTACAGGAGCAGCATGTGCTCTAAAGCTTCTGACTGCTGAGACACTTCTCTGGACACACCCCGAGTTCTTACTGTCCATGTCCGACTCAGGAACTCTCTCAGCTTCAGTTTCCTAAGGAAAAATATAAACCTGACTGGAGTTCCTATGGTGGCACACGCCTTTAATCCCAGCCCTCGGGAGGCAGAGGCAGGCAGATCTCTGTGAGTTTGAGGCCAGCCTGGTCTACATAGCAAGTTCCAGGACAGCCTGAGCTACATAGCAAGACCCTATCTCAAACATAATAAAACAAAGGAATCTGACTAGGTCTGCATTTTCCAGGCCTGGCTCCTTGTCCATAAGAATTCTTAGGGAATCCCTGGGTCCTGCACCTTATATTCTGATTCAGAAAGCACAGATGGGCAGACCTCCAGGAATCTGGGGTTTTGTTGTTGGTTGGTTAGAATTACATTGTTTTGTTTTTGCGTGAGGTATCTATGTTACCTGGTTGGTCTTGAACTTGTGAGCTCAAGTGATCCTCCTGTGACCTCAGTCTCCCAGGTAGTTGTCCAGCCTTGTTTTATGTCTGAGGCTCTCTGGAGGCCTTTGCAATGCAGCAGGCCCATGACCCCCATGCATGACCCCCCTAGACCACCAATCTGTGCTGCTTTCTGCTCTGATAATCTGGGTCCTATACCAGCCTGTCATCTTTGGGGGGCGGGGTTGGGATGACAGTTGTCTCTAGCCACCCCAAGCCTATATTTAAGAGGCCTCCAGGGATTGAGAGGACCAGTTGTTGCTGGAGTGGCCTGTGACTCAGCCAAGGCACTGGCACCCTTGCCTCTGACAGCAACCCACCCAAAGTCCTGTAACAGTCACCAGGATTTGGAACTTTATTCTCTTTGCTCTGTAAATGGAGATGGAGCCGGAGCCTGTGGAAAACCCAAGGACAGTGCCCAGAGCGCTCCACTCCCTCGCTCAGTTGTGTGTTGGGGATTTCTGCAGCTGAAACTGCAAGCTCAGGACTGTGACCCAGCTCTCCGGAGGGCCAGCAGCTCCCCGGAGGGCCAGCAGCTCCCCGGAGGGCCAGCAGCTCCCTAGAGGGCCAGCAGCTCCCTGGTGCTCTCCACTAATCTCAGTGCCAGCCAGCTTGAAATCACGTTGAAAACACTCCTTGGCCTTCTAACTTGCTTTGAGTAGGTGGAAGGCAGTGCCCGGAGGAGTATTTGGGAAAATGGGCCAGAGAGCATGAAGTTGGTCATGAGTCTGTTGTTGAAAATGAAACTGACTTGGAAAAGAGTAAAATTAAGTCTGAACGCCGTCAGGCTGTGATAGACCTGAGGCTTGTTCCACTTAAGCTAATCTGGCTCAGAAGGTCACTTTTATTAAGTCCATTGAACTAGAAGTGACCAGCTGGCAGACCGACCCACAAGTCACTCACCGCTCTTCTTTCCTAGTGCGAGCAACCCTTCCTCCATGTCCATCCCTGGGAAACTGCTGATTACCAAGGAGACAACAGAAACACTGGTAGTTTGCAATAAATAGTTCAGTTGTTTTTTAAAATTTCATTCATGTATATGGGTTCACAAGTTTAATTAGGGTTGTTTACAGGAGATGGGCAATTTTCCAGTAGCCACACCACTGAAGAAATGTCTTTCCTTCCCTCACAGCCGTTAACTGCCTCAGGGAGGGGTGGTTCCTCACAAACCACACCCCCTTAAAGATTGTTTTAGGAGGTGGAAAAATAGAGTTTGAGACATAGACTCTGAAATCAGATGAGGCTACAAGTTCAGCCTTATTGATAACTAGCCGTGTGAACTTTTGAAAGTTGTTCGTCTTCCCTGTGCCTCAGTTTCTCATTCATAAAACACAGACTGAAACTTTTCTATGATGCTGATTGAGTGGGATAGTGCATAGGATGCTTGTGGCACTATCTACCAGCCCATTCACATAGTTCCTCCCTTTCCCTTCTCTGCTCATCTCTCTGTCATTTAACGAACACCAGCTGTTATGATTTGCTTACGTGTTCTGGAGAGTTTCGGACTTAGTTCCCAGCTGATGGTGCTGGTGGGGAATGGCAGAAGGAAGTCACACCATGTGCTTTCGAGGACCCTGGCCCCTTCTCGCTTCTCCGCTTCTCGGCCACTGTTATGGGAGCAGCTTTGCTCTGTCGTGGACTCCCACCATGATGCTCTGCCTCACCACAGGCTCCAAACGACAGAACAGAGCGACCATCATTTGGAACCTCTGAAACTGTGAGTCAGAAATGTCCTTGGTTTTCTCACTCATTTTCCCAGCTACAGAAAACTAACACAGCTGAATTCTGTAACCAAACTCAATACCTGAGCAAATCTGTCCCCTGTAAGATGAATTGCTAAATGGTTTTATTAATAATAATAAAAAAAAACCTGGAGCCAGATATTGGGGTAAAAACTGAGAGATCAGGGAAGCAGAAAGAAGCCACCACGTTCTTACCGCTAGAAATCCTCAGCAAAGAGACCTACTTCCTGTATACCACACCTGTATCCTTTCTGCGCCATGGATAGCACTGGGATTAAAGGTGTATGCCACCATGCCTGGCTCTGTTCCCCAGTGTGGCCTTGAACTCACAGAGATCCAGATGAATCTCTGCCTCCCGAATGCTAGAAGTAAAGGCGTGTGCTACCATTGCCTGACTTCTGTGTTTAATATAGTGGCTGGCTTTTTCCTCTGATCTCCAAATAAGCTTTATTTATTAGAGCACAAATAAAATATCACTGCAGTCCCCCGGGGACCCAACCTCTCTGATCAGCAGAGTTGGAGAAAGTAGGCAGAAAGAAGGATGACGGAAGGGCCACCTGGGAAAATGGCAGCTCTACAACTAATAGAGGGTCAGGTGGCTCCTGAGATATCAGCAGATGACAGACACCTGAAGCGGGACTCTGGATAAGATGACCCCTACAGGGGAGGACAAGAGGATGGGGAAGTCCAAGCCCCAGGGAGGCCAAGCCTGGCCCCAAATCCAGCCTTGCTTCTTATCATCCTTGTCCTCTCAGGTGCCGTCCCCTCTTCTGGTCCCCACCAAGTCCCCGAGAGACACATGCCAGTGGGGTGAAGAAGGAAGACCCCTGGTCTAACGGGACAGTTATCTTAGAAGCCACTTCAGGCTGAGCTTTCAAGCTCATTGTGTCCCCAGGGAACTGTGCCAAATGTCTTCTGTTTAGCTCACCCTTGGCCACTTCCTCTGAAGCACCCTGGTGATTACTCTGGGCCCACTGGACTAATCCAGGATGATCTGCCTGAGACACAGCGCCCAGCCTAATCTATCTGCAAAGCCCTTTTTTACGTGGGAATGCAGTTCACAGGTTCTAGGAGTTAGGCTAGAACCTCTTTGGAGGATCATTATCCAGCCTGCCTCATGGGGGCAGTAATATGTGATTAATGGTAACAATCTGTGCTTGTATTATACCTGGGACATTCCTGTTTCAGAACGGAATGATAGCAAGGCCCATGTCTGTGTGGCCCTGAGTTCCTAGTTCCACTGACTGACGTGCAGGTAGGCCAGGCCCTCCTAAGGCCGGACCTCAGACCTCAGACCTCGCTGGCGCAGCTCCATCTGGAGGAGCCTTGCTGCTCTGGCTTCAGAACCAGCCGCCTCCCGCAGCTGTCACAGGAGGAGTGCTGGCCAAGGTGCTGCCATAGCCTCCTCTCAGCCTCGACCTTTGCGAGCAGGGGACAGTGGAGAGAGACACACCCTAGTTCTTGGTTGGTTGGAGTGGAGAACTCAGGAGTCCCAGATCTCTTCCAGAACGCTCCTCCTCTATCAGCCCTTTCCTTCCATACTCCCTAGGCCCAAGTCTGTCCCACGGTCCCTGTCATCCTGTCTGCCTGCTGTCGGAGAAGTCTTTGCCAGGCTCCACAGAGGGCATATGGCCCTTTGCTTGCCTTAGGCTATGGTGGGGTCTTAGGCACAGTGGAAGTGGCCAAAGGAAGGGCTTATCCCAGCTCTTCACCCTTGACCTTGAGACCTACCGTAAGGAAGATCTTCAGGGGTCCCAGGGAAGTTTCCTCATGAAGGCTAGGGAGGATCCCAGAGCTTCACCCTCAGTGCAGGTACCTCTGGGGCACTCACCTCTCCTTCAGACCCTAGGGGCCGGACCTTTGCTCGTATGTATGAGGATATCACAGGAGCACAGGCACCCAGGAATGTCTCAGCATAGTCTCTCGGTCTCTCCCCCGACACCCTGTGTGTGTGTTTGTGTATGTGTGTGTGTGCATATGTGTACATGTGTGTGTATGTGTGTGAGTGTGTGTGTGTGTGTGTTTCCCACCCACCCCCCTCTTTCCTCCTCCTCTCTCCCTCTACATCTTCCTCCCTCTCACTCTGGGAAATGAAATCCTGCTACAGGCACTACTGAAGGAAGTTTGGGGTACGTGTGCTTTCACTCTGGGGACAAGGGTGGCCTGCGCAAGGCAAAAAACTGCCACCTCAGCTCTTCTCACCGGCAGCCCCACTCCAGGCGCCCCACGTCGCTTCTCCTCAGCTCTGCATTGGTGCCTATGGGGGGTGGGGGGTGGGGTGGGGGGTGGCTCCGCCTTGTGTTCCAGGAGCTGCTGCCCAGGTCATGAGCCAAAACTGCCACCAAAGATTAACCAGTTTGGTTCTGGGGATATGGCTAGGGTGTGGCTCAGTTGGCTCGCCTAGCATACACAAAACCTTGGATCCAAACTCCAGCACCACATAAACCAGGAGTGGGGTTTTATACTGGCAATGCCAGCACTTAGGAGATAAAGGCGAGAGAATCAGAAGTTCAAGGTCATTCATTCTCAGAGTTTGAGGCCTGGGTTTGTTTGTTTACTTGCTTGTTTTTATTTTTTTTAATACATTCACCAATTCTCCCACCATACATATCTTTATTGCCTAGCAGACCAGCTGGGCACAGGTCAGGGAGAAAGCTGATGAAAAAACAGGAAATGGTCTCTGTCCTTTAGTGAGCTGCCAGAGTGGGGCTGGCTTGTGGTGGCAGGCATGACATGGGTCATAGCCCCGGCTGACAATGGCTGCAATGAAGGGGCCCAGCAGAGGTTGCTGGGCCTTCACTGGGCCAGCTCCCCCCACAGAACTGGGTCCTGGCCAAGAATGCCTGCTGCTGGTTCCATACCCTGCCCAGCTGGGGCACCCACCCCAGCCTCCAAGGCTCCTGCCACTGCTGGTGGCCCTCCCTTCTGCCCACTCTCCTCCAGAACCTGCCCTTATAAGGCCACCCACTCAGGAGATGCAAGTTCTGTGTCCTCTGGGCAAATGCCCACACAACGTCATCTGCTGCTTCTCTGCTCAAGAGATTTTTAACCTATGATTTGATTTATTTTGTCGTTAAGAAAATGTTTCCAGGTTGAACAGAGACATGAACTGGGTTCCAGATGAGGGAACAAAATTAGAAGCCAGGGTGCTAGGGTGCTGGGGAGCTGGGGCCCAGGACAGGCCCCAGGGGATGGCTTAGCCAGTTTCCACATTCCCTCAGTAGCCAGGCAGTTCCAAGAACTTAAGCTCTGTGCTTAGGTGACTCCCAAGTGCTTGGGGGAACAGCCCTCCCTCCCCTGCAAGCCATCTTAGTGCATTGCCAAGGTGCCCTGTCCTCCTTTGACCAGGAATGGACACATGTCACTGCTCAGGGCCAGCTCACTCTGACATGTGCCATTGGATCCTTGAGAGCCCCCCTTCTGGTCCTGGCCTTGGAGAATCTGTTCCTGCTACAGAGCCTGTGCCACTGAGGGCCCGCCCTTCCCTGTCCCAGGGAGCTCTGAGGAAGCCAAGGCCTTCCAGTCTGATCCTGTGCTCCTTAACCAGCCGAGGGTCCTTCTGCTGCACACGGCCACGCTCCCTGCTGGATGTGGTGGGAGGACATCCTGCCTGATGGAGACCCAGAGACAGGCTTGACTGGGTCCCAGCTGAGGCACTGTCATTACCTGGGAACTGACCCTCAAGGTCCAAGGTCCGGTGACCACTAAGTAGCGGCCTCCTTCATCCCACTGCAAGGCCTCAGGGACAGAAGCAAGCCTGGCTGTCTCCGTCCTTCATCCGGCACAGTTCATGGCTGGAGGGGGCACTAAAGGATTTTCTGGGTGGAGAAAGAATAAGGCAAGAAGGGAGGGAGGGATGGAGGGAGGGAGGGTGGGAGGACAAACTCATGAAAGCCACCCCTGCCGAAGTGGCCCATACTAAAGGGAACTGGCTTCCCTTAAAAACAAAGGAAAGCGCTGGCGATTTAGGATGCTACTCTCATTAGGGAACCAGGCAGCCATGCTTAGTCCTTGGTGGCCATCCCTCAGAGACTGGACGACCCAGGTGTACAGGACTGGGGTAAAGAAGAGATCCTGGTTTCTGGGAGGGTCCCAGCATTCATCCTCAGAAGGCCTTGAGTCCGGAGCTCACTGACAGCCCCAGTACCACACTCCTTTCGGAAGCTTCTCGGCGGCGGCGGCGGCGGCGGCAGCGGCGGCGGCGGCGGCGGCAGCAGCAGGGTTAAGCAGAGAGGAGCCTTGGTCTTCCCTGGGCGGTCAGAAGCACACCACACAGCGCTGTGATGCAGCAGGCTAAGCTCTGTGGAGAGAGATGGGTGCTGCTGGTCCAGGAAGCTGCCACCTTTGCCCCTTTGCTGTGTGACCCTGATTCTTACTGTGCAGGGGCAAGTGACGGAGAAGACAGCCTGGGGACAGTTCAGAGTTGTTTTTACACACACACACACACACACACACACACACACACACACACACACAGGAGTTGTTTTTGAGTAGGTAGGGGTGGGGAGGTGGGGAAGTGGTTTCTGGGTAAGAGGCTGATGCTGAGGGAAATATTTTGAACTCCTCAGGGATACAGGGCCCTCAGGGACAGGTCATAGGGAGAGTATGTTCTTGGTATCTGGATTTTCAGTGAGACCTGAAGCAGGGAAAGCCATCTGCTGCAACAACCCAGCCGAGAGGACTCCTGTCTGGAGGAGCATTGTCCAGGTCCCTTTGATGGAGAGGGATCTGGGTCTGTGCTCTGCAGCCGATGCCCTGGCAGGAGGAATCACGACAGATGCTTCCCAGGCCAAGAGCCCCTCTTCATGGCTCCCACTTTGCCACTGTCAAAGACTGCCTTCCCCGATTGCAGCCAGACCAGTGGCTACTGCAGAGACAGTCCACAGCCCTTCCTTGAGGTGGAGAGCCTTCTGGTTCATTGACAGGAGCCAGGCACTGTTTGAAGTTCTGTGTCCAGCCCTTCGAGTTTAGGCATTGTTATTGTGGCCACTGCCAGATGCCCACCCGATGTTCAGAAGCTGAGCAGCTGTCCAAGAGCACCCAATCAGAAGGCCCTAGAAATGGCTGTGAATCCGGAAAGTCTGAGCTAGCAGCTGGAGCATTCCTACCACTCCGCATGCTCTCTCCCCTGTGAGCCTACACTCAGCCCCTCCCTGACCCCATCGCAAATATACACACAAAATGGGTAGCATGGGTGGCACTTCCTAGCCCACAGCAAGGGCCTCCAGAGCTCTCCCTCTGGGACCTGAAGAACTCCTTAGTTAAACTTAGCTACCTTCAGACCTCACCAGGAGGAGAGACCCAAGCCTAACCTAGAATCTGGAGCTATGGGGCTGCTGGATCCCTTACCTAGAGGGCATGGCCAGGAGCTTCTCACATCTTCTTGTTCCTCACCTAAGAGGGGTTTGAATGGTCAGTTTTTTTCCTCCTCAAAGTGGTTTGGGGAGGCAATCGTCCAGCTTCCGGTCACGGAGACACCACCCCTACCCGGAAGACATACATGTCTCTGCTTCCCGTCACTGTGTGATCAGTCCAAGCTTTGAGATGGACACTTGCCAATATGCTTTAAACTGCTGGGTGACTGGTGCCCGGGTCGCTGAGGGCCAGAGGATGCAGGCACACAGCCAGCAGGCCCTCGCCAGGAAAGATGGCACGCTCAAACTGGGTCATTAGAGGGAACCTGAGGACAAAGGCTGTTGGCAAAGGGTGAAGGGTCACTCCAGGGACAGAGTGAGGCAGTGACAGGGCTCTCCCTCCACCCCTCCACCTGTAGGTGCAGGTGGGCACCCCAACCGGAGGCCTGAAAGGACGGCTTGGAAATAGCCACCTGACAGGAGCTGACATTCAGAGCAGTGGGGGGGAAGTCGGTTCAAAGCTCCCGGAGGAGGGAGCTGGGGGCCAAAGCCTTGACTCACCCACGCTTTCTGGCTCCCTCTGCTGAAAGGTCCAAGCCTCCCAAGTCTCAGGAGCCCAGTGATGTGACCCAAACAAGGGTTGTCATACATCTCTGCCTGTCACTTTCACTGCTTTAAAAGCAAGCTGCAGCTCCCATTTCCTGCAAAATAGAAGCCCTGTTCTCCAGCCTGCGTGCGCAGGCTCCGCCCTCATCTCTAGCCTCACAGCCCAGGAGCTCTTCGGAGCCTGCAGGGTGACTGCGTGAGCCTTCCTGTCATCCACATCTCCATCCTGCTCTTATACAGAAACCAGGTTCAGAGCTGGGGTGTGGGTACATGCCTGTAGTCTCAGCGCCTGGGAGACTGAGGCTGGATATCCCCGGAGTCTGGAAATCCAAGGCCAGCCAGCCTGGACAACATAGGATCTCATCTCAATAAGATGAGTTGGGGGACACACACCTGCAATCTCAATACTGGTGGGAGTGGAGGATGAAAAATTCAGAAATTCAAGGTCAGCCTTGGCTACCTAGCAAGTCCAAGGCTAGCCTGGGCAACATGAGACCCTGTTTCAAAACAAAAACCAAAACAACAACAACAACAAAAAACCCAGCCAGAAGGGCATCTCTCTCTCTCTCTCTCTCTCTCTCTCTCTCTCTCTCTCTCTCTCTCTCTCTCTCTCTTCCCCTCTCTCTTAAATAAAAATAAGTCTTTAAAAAAAAAATCAAGCCATGGGATCTTTGTGAGTTCGAGGCTAGTCTGGTCTACCGAGCGAGTTCCAGGAAAGGCGCAAAGCTACACAGAGAAACCCTGTCTTGAAAAACCAAAAA